CGTAGAAGCCATGGTAGGCATACAATTAGGAGGTTACTCTTTAACTCCGCCGCGGTGGTGGTGTGACGAGCAAGAAATAATATGAAGCTCTCTGTCAGGATCCTAACCAGCCGTTTGAGGAGGTGTTTGGGAGGTGTCGTTGGGTCGAAGATAAATCTTTTCTCAATTATTCTACAAACATCGGATCTATACTGATCCAGGGCAGAAAATCTCTGAATTCGAAAGTGTGGCTAAAAAACCGCCGCACTGTGCGGCAACAGGTGCGGCGGGAACTTCCGCCGAGCATGTCACAGGACTTCTGCTCAACATCCTCACCATTCTAATAAAATTCTACTGCTTTACGAAGCCTCATGCGCACGCCTGACAACGCCCTCGAGCTCGAAAAAATCATTACAAATTAAAGTTCTAATATCTATGTGTGATGACAATTGTAACCACTGATATGTCGTGAGTATCATCGGTCCTGGCATCCAGACCCACCTTCTGATTATCTTTCCACCACCCAGCCCATTCCAGCTGATTGCAAAACGATAGGCCAGTTGCAACAACCACTGATCTTCAGCCGTTTATTTGTGCATTGATGGAGCGTCATGGAATCTGGACCAAACAACAAACGGCAGCAGGAGCCGTCGTGCTTTCTTCCGCTAATTTCTAATTATAGCCTTCCAAACAAACAAACCGCTGAAGAGCAACCGCCATCACAACTGGCCTATCGTTTTGCAATCAGCTGTCACAGTGACAGCAGGGTGGGAGGCACTGACAACTGTTGACAGAGATTGAGGGTGCTGCAAGAGCCGCTGGGTCACACTCGGGGCAGGGGCAATTGTTACTGGTCAGCCACATTATAGCTGCAGTTCCGTGACACTGTGCTCCCCATCTTCCCGTTCCTTCACTGGAATGTGTAGTTACATTGATATAATATGTTTAAAGTTGAAAGCTACGAAGTTTGCAGCTGAGCGAGCAAGGTAAACACGTCACGCTTGTATCTTGTACTTGTGTTGACGCGTCTCTATTGTTGGCCAACAAACACT